TCATTTATTCATAATTTAAACAAATGTATTGTTTTAATAGATTTATTAAAACGATACATTGGTTTTAATAATGAATGTTGGATATCTAAAAATCAATCCAAGAGATGTACACATGCGTTCCAGGAAAACTTGCTGAAGTAAATGACTGTTTTGACTGTAAGAACGGTAGTCTTCAGCTAAAACAATAATACATAAAACGTATTGGACGAGAAAGCTTGTTACAATTTTCAGTGTGATGAGTTCCTAAGAATTCACTTGGGTTTTGTTATCTTCTAAATAAAGATTTTACACATGTTTATGTGAAATATTTCCACAATATCTGCTTTATTTTGACCGAATCCAATAATATTTTATAGATTGCTTTGTAGATCATAAAACATTGTCATGCACATATTGCCAGAGCAGAGGTGTCTAGTTCTCTCTGGTCTTTCCAAGTAGTTGTTGAGGTCAATGATGTCACATTATCTTTAGCTTCCTAGATAATTTGGCTCCTCTCAGCCCTGTGGCTATTTTGGGATTAAATGATTCTGAAAAGTACCACCCACAGTACTTTCCAGAGTATGAGTGAAATGAAATTTAATGCAATTGTTCTTCACACTTTTTAATGTTAATCATGCTGTTCTAAAGTGCCTTATTGCACTGACTATAGTCATGTTTTTGGTTTTTGGAGACTTGCACTTAAAAATGTTTTTGTTCAGTGGTTAGCACCGTCACCTCACAGCATAAAGGTCGCTGGTTCAAGTCCCAGATTGGACAGGTGGCATTTTTATGTAGAGTTTGCATGTGTCCGAGTACTCCATTTTCTCCCACAGTCCAAAGACATGCGGTATAGGTGAATTGGATAAACTAAAATTGACCATAGTGTGAGAGAGATTGTGGGTGTTTCTCACCACTGGGGATTCAGGAGTTTGTGTAATCTCAGTGCTGGAAGGACATCTGCCTCATAAAACACATGCCAGAGAGTAATTGGTGGTTCATTCCTCTGTGGCGGCTCGTGATAAATCATATGTACTTTTTACAGTTGCAGACAGTGTGTGTTTTTTGAGTACTAAAATAAAAAACAATTCAGAAGGAAACAGAATTTTATAGACCAAAGGCAAAGGTCAGTCAAGCAAATGCCTTAAGTGTTTGAATTTATTAGCGAGATGTATAATTTATTTTAGAACACAGGACAAAAATAGCCTTTATTACTTAAATAAATTTTAAAACATTCTCTCTCCCTTACACACACACACACACACATCTCTAGGATACTTTCTTGATACCTGAGAACCACTTAACTGAAACTCCCCTTTACCCTCATTCATCCTCATTCATTCTGAGGGAACTTGCTTTCAATTGCAGATAGATGGATGGATGGATGGAATGACTGATTAAACGATATATAGATAAATGGATGGACGGACGGACGGACGGACGGACGGACGGACGGACGGACGGACAGACAGACAGACATACAGACAGACAGACAGACAGACAGATAGATAGATAGATAGATAGATAGATAGATAGATAGATAGATAGATAGATAGATAGATAGATAGATAGATAGATAGATAGAGGGAGGGGCGCATGCAGTATATGCGGCGCATAGGGGGCGCGCCATTGTGCCAAAACGATTTTTGAAATTATCCTTATTAAAAGTTTCAAAACAAAATTTGATAAATATGTTTTGTTAAAATTGTTTATTTTGCATTTTATACAAGTATAATGTTGTATTTTATTAAATTAAAAATTAAACCATGAGTTTCATACATTCATACACACACATTTTGATTCAAAAACATTTAAAACAATAACATGCAGTCACACAGCCAAGTGTAAAGTGTTTATGTAGATGTAACTGTTTAGATTTTTTTTCCCAAAATAAACTGTCAAATTATGCATACAGTACAGTTGAGGTCAAATGTTATGATTAATCTGAAAAATTTATTTATTATTAATTATATAATTATTTTGCCAAAATAAGAGAGATTACACAAATGTATGTTTATGTAAGAACAGACTTCAATATATTTCAGATAAAATAGAAGATAATATTGGGATTACAAATTCCCCTATATGAATTGTATATACTTGGTTATAATGATTCTTAACCCTGTTAAAACTTACACATGAACAAATAGTCATAATATTCAGATTTTTTTTGGAGCTGAAATGTTTATTAATCCTTCTATCAGGATCCATTTTCATACCATATAGATGTTTTTTATAATTGTATTATGTATCATATTGACATATCAGGCCTTTTGGTAACTTTTAAATTAATTTTAGTTACAAAAAAAAGTTTGCCAATAAAGTTTTGATAAAATAAAACATTTTAGGCAGGTTGTTATTGTTATGTTTTAGTTTACACTAAACATTTGAAAGTCTTTTTATTCCACCTTGTGAGAGGTGTAATAGAAGTTTCAGACAATTGTTAATGCAAAGACAGACCTTACACCTCGCATATGAGAAGTGATTGCATTTTTGTGTTCTTTTGCGCTTTAGGACTCCCATCCTTTTGTTTTCACAAATATACAAAAAGTACAGAAGCAAGGCACGTCAAGGTGCTTTAATCATTTAGTAAGGAAATTAAAATTGAGAAGAAATTTGGGTTGGGATGAGATGTAATTCATTGTGACTTAACATGTTTAGTGTAATTATACTTTTACTACTTCATACTATTTCAGTTGTGTTCAGAAATGCAATGTATTTGTTTGAATCATGCTGATGAGGAAAAAATATCTTTAATATATTGATGGAAAATTTTAGCACTATCACTTGACTGTTATAAAATATAGTTGGATTAGTGGTAGTGGGGTGCAAAACTTGAACCCGCATACCCCTCAATAAATGTGTAGTTGCGCCCCTGGATGGATGAATGGATGGATGGATGGATGGATGGAATGACTAATTAAACGACAGAGTTCTCAACTCAACCCAGGAGTGACCGGGGCGGACATGCCGTACACCCTACTAATAATACTGCAGACTAAGGGGACACGTGTAAAGACCTTGTTACCTCTGGCTCGTGAGGAAATATCGTTTTGTACTTTGAATATTTCTTAGCGATATTATTAGACGGTAGTTTAAGTGCACGCGCACGGCGCAATGCTCCGCTCGCGCAGTGGCTCGTCGAGCCGTTTTGAGTGACGTCATGAGCCGGGTGTTTGACGGGGTGGCTCGGCTGCCGCAGAGCTCGAGAAATATGACCGACAATGACCTCGACGGCAATGTGCGTTAATGTTTTGCTCTCATCGTTTTGTACTCAGTTTATGCAATAAAGTGGCTTTATTATTGCCGTCGCTGTTGTTATAGCCGTTTTTAGGTTAAATCTGTGCATTTGCTGTAGGTCATTAGCAACGAGCCTTTCCTTATCTCGAGAGCGCGATAAACACATTCAGCGCGCGCCTGTGTGTGTGTTTGAGTCTCGCCTCCAGCCTTACCGGAGACGCGCGTTGTGCACTGAAATATGGATAAGGCCAAATCAGTGATGGATCAGAAAGGATCGAGTCCTTGCTACCAAAATGGCATGCACAAGCCGATCCGGCGACAGCTGAGCAACGGGAGCTGTAGCCCGTACAGTCCGACGGACGATAATTACCACCATCTTCACCACGACCCACAAATCAACGGGTCCCCGGCAAAGAGGTGCCGACTGCGGATGCGATTGGAATCGGCGAGGAAAAACCGACCACGTAAGTTTACAGCACAGTGTTATTAAAATCACATTAGATTTACACGGTGTGTGCAGTATAAAATGCACTCTGTTAATATTACACACAAGGGATTATTTAACAGTGTTGCAAGAGGAATGATTTAAACAGGCGATTTTGCACAACCCCTAAATTTAATATTTAGTTGGATTAAAACAAATGTCACTATAATGGTGCATATTAGTAGACAGAAGCTGTATTTAAAGACTATGCTTATATTGTAACAATAAGGTATTTAAAATGTTATATAAATGAAAACATTTTTACCTCATAAACTTTGAACTAGAGATCAAAGGTGAGAAGGAAATTTGCAATAGGTTCGATTTCTCTGTTTGTTAAGTAAGCTTTTGATGCAATTTTTAAGGGTGAACGTTCCTCAGATTGATTGATTTGTTTATTTAACTGCCTTCAAATATGTGTTGCCAAATCATCAGTCCAAATTAAGTGTCGAGTTTATCAGCCTCACTGTAGTATAGAGGTTAACTTGGTTTTGCATTCGAATATTCAGACTTTCTCTTTAATAATATAATTTCAGAAAAGTCTGGAAATTCTAAATAGTGAAATCATATTAGCAGCCAATGGCTATCAAGGTACAACACTGTTTACAGTCACTTAAATAGTGCTTATTTTGTTTTGCAAGTCATACTTGCATGCTAGTTATGACCGAATGTTCAAATTAGCATGGTAAACAATATAGGGACATTTCAAGGAACGAATGTGCAAATATAAAACCAACTGTAAGTTAACGTTACCTCAATCACTGTTGTTTAGTGATTAACGTTAGTACTAGAGCAAATTTCGAGTGGAGGTCGAAAGCAATAGTTTATTAAACATGTCAAATAATTCGGACTGATTCATAAGAACTGTTTTGTTTGAACGAATCATTCGTCTGGGAGTCGGGCTCTGGACACACGGCATATGATTCATTAGAATGAATCGAATGAGTCATTTGATCAGAAATCAAACTTGCTGTATGTTTCACTCTCTCGATGTGGTCTTATTGACAAAACAGTGTTTTTCGAATATGAATTAAAATCATTCGTCCCTGCTATTTTGTTTAATCCGGCTCTGGCACTTGCATTGACCAACACAGAAAAAACTGTCATTATAACGTCTGTAAGTGTCTATTGTTTTGGTGAAACCCATGAGACTGTTGTTCTCGCTCTCTGATTGGTCGATGTGAAGTCAGGAGGTGTGCTGGAGTCGCTCATGAAGCAAAGGCTCGACGCCATTCGACCAATCAGCCCGTGGCATTTGTATTCGCGTGGCCGCGTTAAAGGGCCAGACAGAAACGCCCCCACCGTGCAGTATGCAGAAATTCCCCACATTTGTTCACTTTAACAAAACGACTCCAAGAATATAACTTTGAGTGCCTAGTTATAATGCGATTAGAAGCCAAAAGGAACCATTAAATTTTGTCTGCTTTTGTGGGCTGTTGGGTTTGCATCTGAAAGTATTAGATTAGCATCAGCAGGATGAAGTTGAAGTGTTCATGGAAGCCAGGTAAGAAAGCATCATCTCATACTCATGTTAAATGTTATAAGACATCTTAACTTCTTGGTATTAATCTGAAAGTTTCAGATAAAGTTATATTTGCAGAATAATACGCTAACTGTAATGTTGTCAATGCATTAGATGTATTGTATACTGTATTGCTGTTTATGATAATGCAAAAATGCTATTCGACAGATGTCAGGTTTAGAAGATAAGTGAACACTAAAATATACAGAGCTCATAGAGTTTAGCAAGTCTCAGCTGTGTCGGCATGCTAGGCCAGCTTGACAACATTCCCCAGCTCCAGCCGTGTTTTGTTTATGTGGAAACACCTTTGTTGCTGCAACTGTTTTTTATTGTTCCATTATTTGCAGTCAGCCGATTTAAATTGTGATCAAAGGTATTCTTAGAAGATAAAGGCTATTTTGAAATAAACGTTACTTTTTTGTTTTATTTAACACGTGTAATGCATCCCAAAATTGTTTCTAATTTCCTCATACAAGGGATGTTTAAACTCAAGTCATATTTTTAACATAGTAAAATCTTAACATATTTATGTTATTTTTATTAGCAACTTTTCATTTAGTCAGTAAATGTGAAATCCATATGTGTGTGTGTGTGTGTGTGTGTGTGTGTGTGTGTGTGTGTGTGTATATATGTATATATGTATGTATGTATATATATGTATGTATGTGTATATATATATATGTTTATATATATATGTGTGTGTGTGTGTGTGTGTGTGTATATATATATATATATATATATATATATATATATATATATATATATATATATATATATATTAGAGGAACCTATACTGGTCTCACGGTTCGGTTACGATTATCATGCCTTTGATTCGGTTCAATTCGATATCTCGGTGAATCACGGTGCATTGACGAAGCTTTCCATATACAGTATTATATTTTAGGGGGGAGGCAATAACATGCTGTCTGTATAAACACACACGCACAGCACCACACTGTCTCTCATTCAAACACATACACAAACATAGACAGCAACAAACAAACAAACACACACACACGCACTTAAGCCCTCGCAACAGGGAGAGCTCGAGCTGAGCGGAGCAGAAAAACGAACAAAAACGAAAAAAAGAAGCCCTTTTCCGACGGTCCCTTACTGAGAGCTCCTCTCAGCGCGAGCTCTCCCGGCTAAACGCATATTGCGAGGGCTTAAACGGAGCAGTGCTCGTAATGTCGAGTGAAAAAAAAAAAGAAAGACAGCTGTGAAACATAACCAGCTGTCTTTCTGTAGGAAACACACTTTAGATCTAATTAGGGTAAGAGTTTTTTGAGTTAATGCCGTCTATAATTGAATGTGTGTCAGGAATATCGAAAACAAAACCAACTGAACCGCGCTCATTTCTGGCGCCCCCCTGAATATACAGCGCCTTTAGCATTTGCCTATGGTGTCTATGCCACGGGCCTGAGTTGGCTGAGTGTTGTATATACTCGCGCTCACCTCCCTCGCGACAGAGCGCATAGGAGATAAATGACGTCAGGACATAATAACCGGTTATGATTATTACTGAACTGATACAGAATTGTCCGCGTCTGCATTGCGGTGCACCGAAGTAACAATTAATTTTGACACCCCTAATATATATGTGTGTGTGTGTGTGTATATATATATATATATATATATATATATATATATATATATATATATATATATATATATATATATATATATATATGAGTGCAACAAACAGGAAGTTGTTTAACATTTTGACCTATGCTGCTGCCTCTAATAGTATATTTCTTAAATGGATATTTGATGAACCACCGACAGTATTAGAATGGCATAAAGTAATATCATTGGAATATGAGCATTTCCAGCATTATGGATGTGACATTTACAGTAAAAGCTCAACATAAATTTACAGAGAAAGAGTATGTTAACATTATATTGAAACATCTGTTTATATTTTCCAGAGCAACTAACAACAGAATTATGGGATCATAAAAATATCAATCTGTAAACATGTTTTGTAATTTAAATGAGGAAAACAAGCATGCGTTATGGATGTGACCAAAAAAAGTCTGCAAGTTTACAATGTACAACATACTTTGTAGAAATTCAGGGAGTTAAACTGCACAAGCCAAAAGAAATAATTATAATTAAAAAGACGAGAGTTGGCTGATTGTAGAACAAAAATTATTGAATTTATTTTATTTTACATTTTTGCATTTTTGAGGAAAGAGTGTTGCTATGGATGTGACTGATGTGAAAATGGCACTTGTGTGACTGCTAAATCAAATATAATATTTTAAAAACATTGACAGAGACATTTTTGAGTGTTTCAAAAGTACTGTAAAATACTTACTTTTTCAAATAAAAAAAAAAATTTTAACATGCTTTCAGAAGAAAACAAATAAAAAGGATTTCTGACAGAAAAGTGCTCCATACAAACCTGGGTCCAAAGTGACCCAAACACAAAATAAAATGCTTTTTTTAAATGGTTATCGCTTAAATGTTAAATTACAAAAACATGTGGGAAAAAATAGAAGTGCATCTCTGTGCATTTAATATTTAAGAGTGTGTGTACGTGTAATGATGTATTGTGTGGATAAGTACTTTGTATTCTATGGTCACAGCCATATTACCCTGCAGCACAAGACTGGTTTCTCACTGAAGCTAAGCAGAACCTTGTTAGTACTTTGGTGGGAGATCACATGGGAAAACTATGTTGCTGTTGGAAGGGACGTCAATGAGGCAAGCAGGAGGTGCCTAATCTGCGGTCTGTGTGGGTTCTAATGCCCCAGTTTTGTGATGGGGACACACTATTCTGTCAGTGACCACCATCTTTCAGATGAGACGTTAAACTGAGGTCCTGATTCTCTGTGGTCCCATGTTGCTTCCTGTAAGTAGGGGTGTGACCCTGGTGTCCTGGCCCAATTTTCTCCCTCTGAATAGCATCCCCATGTAGGTATGTTCCGGTATAAGATTCTGATGGTATGATAACCTTGGATAAAATTATCACAGTTTCTCAGTATTGTGTTTACTGCTCTAAAATGTTGTTTTAAAATGTCTGGGTAAAAAAACTATTTTTTCCCCATTAAACACAATCTATTTTATTTAAGAAACATTTAAAATATTTTGGACCAGTAGTTTTTGATGTGTAGGTTACTTTTCTGCTGGAGATACTTTTGCCCTAAAAAACTAAATAAAATAGTTGTGAAAAACATGTAAAAAATGTAATGACATGATTGTAAAGTGATTTGGGTTTATGGCCATACACAATAAATGCGCTATATAAATGCACGTTACGTTACATTTTTGTTTTTCCTGGATGTTAGATTATAGTGAGAGGCTCCATTGTTCTGTACTAATCTGATGGTGTTGGGTAATGTGTGTAATCTTCATTCTTGCTCTTTTGTACAAGCCCTTTCTCTTTCACATGGACACTCTCCTGCCTGCCAATTGCTCTCTGTCAACCACTCCATCTCTCTCAGTCACATTCTCTCTCGCCACTTTTTCACCTTTCCCAGCTTCTCACATGGACACACTTGCCTGCCAATTCTCTCTTAGTCTTTTTCTTTCTTTCTTTCTTTCTTTCTTTCTTTCTTTCTTTCTTTCTTTCTTTCTTTCTTTCTTTCTTTCTTTCTTTCTTTCTTTCTTTCTTTCTTTCTTCTTCTTTTTCTTCTTCTTATTATTAATATTATTATTAAATACAAATAAAAAAAATATTAATTAATAAATCAGAATTAACTGTACAGTTTAACAATCAACATTTATGGATAAAACAGCAATGATAAATCAGAATAATCAGTAATAATAATAATGTCTCTCTCTGTCTGTCAGTATCTCTCCCTCACCCTCAACATGCCTCTTTTGACTGGGGGATGTAAACAGACCTTTCACCCACATGGGCTGTTTGATGTCATTATGTCACACCACTGTCACACCCCCTGTTCTCCTGCTGCTTTTGGCTCGGTCAGTCAGGTCAACTAAGAAGCAACATAGTTTCAACCCTCTCTCTCTCTCTCTCTCTCTCTTTCTCTCTCTCTCTTTCTCTCTCTCTCTCGAAGATAATATTGGCCTATGGATAAAACACTTTTTTTCTTCAAGAAAAGAAGCATTTTCACAGTGACAATTGTGGTTTTCGGAAATATGCAAGCAAAGCACGTGCACATTGACTTTGTTGGGCTCAGGTCCACTTGATTTGCATGCTCTGAAATAAGAGTGATGTCCAAAATAACCCCTCCTGTAAATGGCCACATCTATATTAGGGGTGGAAGGAAGTGTGAGGATCATTTGAGATGATGTTGTAGCAGAGGGTGTTCTGCTCACAGACAGGTCACATCAGCTGATAGTGTTTTTACACCAGGTCATAAATCTGATCAAATCAGTCTGATATGAGCACGAGTTACTCAAGTTCAGACGTTTGTCCCTGACCTGCCCTAATGTTTCATGATTTCTTTGATTTCAGCTCGGCTTAGAGAACATCTGATGTAAGAGGCCACATCAGTAATAAAGTACCCATTATCTGATAAGACTTTGCTCATTTACTGGTTTTTAGACTGTTTGGAGATTCTGGTCAGGTTTTTTTCTATGCATTGATATTTGAAATGTTTTTTATATTAAAGAAGCAGTGGCGCAGTAGGTAGTGCTGTCGCCTCACAGCAAGAAGGTCGCTGGTTCGAGCCTCTGCTCAGTTGGCGTTTCTGTGTGGAGTTTGCATGTTCTCCCTGCGTTCGCGTGGGTTTCCTCCGGGTGCTCCGGTTTCCCCCACAGTCCAAAGACATGTGGTACAGGTGAATTGGGTAGGCTAAATTGTTCATGTCCGTAGTATGAGTGTGTGTGTGTGTGGATGTTTCCCAGAGATGGGTTGCGACTGGAAGGGCATCCGCTGCATAAAAACGTGCTGGATAAGTTGGCGGTTCATTCCACTGTGGCGACCCCTGATCAGTAAAGGGACTAAGCCGACAAGAAAATGAATGAATGAATAAGCAGACCTGTGTGTCTGTGTTAATGTTGGTTCTGCTGCTGTCTCACCTGCTAAGTGTCCTAGAACAGCCATTTGGAGCCTCACTGCTGTTGCCATGGTAACTGTCTGTCTGCTCATTGGCTGCTGCAGTGTTGCTCTTGGCAACCAAGTCAGTGCCTTTCCTTGGTTGGCCTGCTTGCAGTTTTTCAAGAAGCTTTCACTCAAAAGTTTGTGGACAGATTGAAAAAAATAATCATTTCAAGTTTACTATTACGCTCTCGTCAAGGCTGCATTGATTTTACAAAATATACTGTTCAGTAATAAAGTTTGCACTGCGCGCTCACGATTTTTACATTTTTGGTTTATAAATCTAGTTAATAATATCATTCAGAGGGTCATCATTCACACTCATTAAATAATTACTTTATAGAACTTTATTTCACATTCTTGGGAGATACAAAGCCCAGACCTTTGCCCAGACCTCTGTGTTTTGTATCTCCCAAAAATGTAAAATAAAGCTATATAAAGTAATTACTTAATGAGTGTGAATGATGACCTTCTTAACAAAGTATACTGTAAAATTAATATTTTTGTGAAATATTACAAATTAAAAGTGACTGTTTTCTATTTTAATGTAAGTTAAATAAATCAAAACTAGCCATATGATTTTGTTAGCTCACATTCACAGTTTGTGGTGAACAATTCATCTGTACATTTCATTAAGAAATAAATTTGTTTGCCCTTCTAATCTTTAGTTGAAATCTGAAAATGCACTTCCTGTTTTTTTTCAGTTCAATTGTCAGATTACGTACAGTATATCTTAGCAAATGAATGTGGCTAACATACTGGGTATTAGATTTGCTCAATCCTATGAATAATATTATAAATCATCATTGCAAAAGAAAAGTATCAAATTAATATATTTAACATTCATTCATTTTCCTTCGGCTTAGTCTCTTTATTCATCAGGGTTCGTCACAGCAGAATGAACCGCCAACTTGTCCAGCATATGTTTTACACAGCGCATGCTTTTCCAGCTTCAACCCTGAACTGGGAAACACCCATACACACTCATTCACATACATACACTACGTCCAATTTAGCTTATTCAATTCACCTGTACTGCATGTTTTTGGACTGTAAGGGGAACCGTAGCACCCCGAGGAAACCCATGCCAACACTGAGAGAACATGCAAACTCCACACAGAAATGCCAACTGACCTAGCTGGGTCTCGAACCAGCGACCTTCTTGCTGTGAGGCAACAGTGTTAAACACTGAGCCACTGTGTCGCCCATTATCAAGCATTCATATATGCCATTGGTCCTTTAAGGATGTATTTTCTACACTTATGTTGACTGATCTCTTTGTTTCTTTCCAGCATTTCCATGGTTTGGAATGGACATCGGTGGTACTTTAGTAAAGCTTGTATACTTTGAGCCGAAAGACATCACTGCAGAGGAGGAGCAGGAGGAGGTGGAGAATCTGAAGAGCATACGCAGGTACCTCACGTCCAACACAGCCTATGGTAAAACTGGCATCCGCGACGTGCACCTGGAGCTGCGCAACCTGACCATCTGCGGTCGCACAGGGAACCTGCACTTCATCCGCTTTCCCACCGCCGCCATGCACAGATTCATCCAGATGGGCAGAGATAAGCACTTCTCTAGCTTGCACACCACACTCTGTGCCACCGGCGGCGGAGCTTACAAGTTTGAGAATGACTTCAGGACGGTAAGGAGACAGGTCACAAATGGGCTTTCAGACATTAAAAAATGATTGTAAAATCAGATGTTTTATATTCAGGGCTTTCTTTTCTTTCATTTTTCCATATCATCCAGCCCTACTTGCATCTTAATTAATCATTTAGTACAATGCACTAATTGTGTACTTGCATGTTTTAGATTATACTTACTGTAATTACACTATTCACCCATCACTTACACCTTAACCCATCACTTAAACATACACACACCACGCTTTATCCATATCCAACCTCAAGAGCATCATTGCTGTGTTATATGTGTTAATATGAACATAGTAAGTACAATGTAAATATTTTTAGATGCAAGTACACAGTAGTTAAGGCCACATATTTTAAAGTGCGACCAAATTCCTCCAAAGATTGAATGCAAATATTACAATCAATGAGAATTTGATTTTTAGGTAGTAACAAAGCTGATTGTTTTATGTAATGTTACTGATTTAACTCTCCTATCATGTTCACATCCCGTCCCTAACTTTAGTGTTCCCAGTCAACAATGTCTCAAAGTAGTGTTTATAGAATTAGACATAAAATAACTGCAGTGAAAATACAAATAGGCACTGAATATGCATTACAAAATGATCAATAGATGACAGAAATCAAAATACTTTTTTATTACCAAATAGTCAGCTTGCTAAATTAACTATTACAGGATCTGACCAAAGAAATTGAAATTTCTTAATTAATTAATCTGAATGATTATCAAACAGCAAAGCACACACAAAATGGTTTGATTTCCTGTGTACTGAGTACTCGAATTTTCATTCCGTCCTTCAATTAGACAATATTAGTTTGCTCATGTAGGGAATAGTGACTGGGGGAATAGATGGTGAGTATGGACACAGAACTAGCACTAGTTATACTTTCCTCATCTTTGAAAGTTTCTCATGCTAATGGTGTAATGCAAAAAAAAATGTTTGATGCTATACTAAGCTAAAAGTGCTCGTGCTAGACCCAGAGATTGGCTGAACAGAGAGAGAAAGAATGAAAGAAGGAACAAGATTAATTTCTTCTTTCTTAGTTTCTTTCCAGAAAAAGAAAGAATAAAGGAAAACACACAGATGGGTTCACATAACAGACACCTGTCTAGTATGTGTGAAAATATAATGAATTGTTTCATCAGGAAGTTGGTTCAAGTTGGAGGATCCAACGCTATCTTATGGCAATTTATAACTTTGATTTAGTGTCTCATATAAATTTGTACGATCTCGTTTGTACGATTTAGTATGATTTGCTTATGCTAATGATGGTTGGCTTTAGGGGGTGGGGTCGGGTGCCCCGCCTCCTTTTTAAAATCATATAATTTCTTTTGACTAAAGTTGTACAAATTAGACACTAAACTGACAAAACGTAAAATAGTTACGTTTTCTCCTGAGATCAGGCTGAAGGATCGGCACATATGTGCAGAAAATAAATGTGTACCTGCAAGAGACATTGTTCAGTTTGAAATGAGTGTGAGTGAGTAAGTTGGAGTGGTGTATATGGGGATGTTTTCTGTCTGATGGATGACTATAGTCTGGATACCCATTCATTTCCTAAAGGTGTAACAAGGTTGATTGAAACACTCAAAATTCAAAAAAGTTTGGAGGATATCATAAGGCCTTGATCCTTTCCCAATCTTTTTTGGTAATTCGATGTAAGAAAACAATATTTATGAGTGTTTTAAATTGTAAATCGGGCAGATTTGACCCGAACACGACAGGAAGGTTAAATGAACACTGAATGTTAAAATAACTGTCATTATGTTTACTGGTTTTCTTAACAGGAGTGGAAAAGTGGGAGTGTTTGTCTGACAAAACACTTTCTGCTGTCTGTTTGTATTGCAAGATGATTCAATATAATGAAAAAACAACTTCCACTCTCATTTTAGTTTTTACAATGTTACTTTTTCAATACTTCAAGAATGACTACGATTTCAGACATTTCACAAATGCATTTAAGGGGTGAATGATCTATTTGTCATAAAGACAGCAATGAGCAGTCATGAATCTTTCTCTCTTTTTTTGTAGATGGCAGATTTGGAACTCCTGAAGTTGGATGAGCTGGACTGTCTGATCCAGGGCCTGCTGTACATTGACTCTGTGGGTTTTAATGGTCATCCTGAATGCTACTACTTTGAAAACCCATCTGATACACAGAACTGCATCAAGAGACCCTGCCGCCTTGACAACCTTTTCCCCATGTTGCTGGTCAACATTGGCTCAGGCGTCAGCATTCTGGCTGTGAACTCCAAGGACAACTACAAGCGTGTGACAGGCACCAGGTCAGCACCGTTGAGCAACTTTACACCATGCATTAGAACATTATGAAGACATGCTTATGTTATTCAGGACAACGTGTGGGTAGTTTGCAGATGATTTGCTTGCTTGATGTTAATAATTGTAATTATTACTTTGTAATAAAAGTTGCAGTACATTTCAGATAAAAACGTGTTGTGAGGACTGAAATGATTTCGATTACAATAATCAGAGTGCAGTTTAAACGGCAGATTTTGCCGTTCAAATACTGGCAATCTTGATTTACTTATTATGTTGAAGTACTAGCAATATCTTAAAAATAAAAAGATAAATAAAATTAACTTTTATAAAACAATTTTAAAAATCGTTCACATTTTGCCATCCAAATACAGAAAATTCTGTTAATGTTCACAGTCTATTGTTACACATGTGTTTTTAATATTTTATATTTATTAATTTCATGTGCAACTGATGATGATTTAATTTTTTTTTATTATATATATATATATATATATATATATATATATATATATATATATATATATATATATATATATATATATATATATATATATATATATGTTGACATTTACATTTAGTCATTTAGCAGACGCTTTTATCCAAAGCGACTTACAAATGAGGACAAGGAAGCAATTTACACAACTATAAGAGCAACAATGAATAAGTGCTGTAGGCAAGTTTCAGGTATGTAAAGTGTACGAAGCAAAACATTAGTAATTTTTTTTTTTTTTTGTAATACAGTTAGCGGTGGACCCAGAGAGCCAATTGCAGATTAGGAAGGAAAGTGGAGACTAAATAGTTGAGTTTTTAGTCGTTTCTTGAAGACAGCGAGTGAGTGACTCAGCCGTTCTGATGCAATTAGGGAGTTCATTCCACCAACTGGGCAGATTAAATGCGAGAGTTCGGGAAAGTGATTTTTTCCCTCTTTGGGATGGAACCACGAGGCGACGTTCATTCACAGAACGCAAGTTTCTGGAGGGCACATAAATCTGCAGAAGCGAGAGCAGATAAGAAGGAGCAAAGCCAGAAGTTGCTTCGTAAGCAAACATCAGAGCTTTGAATTTGATGCGAGCAGCAACTGGCAGCCAGTGCAAACGAATGAGTAGCGGAGTGACATGTGCTCTTTTAGGTTCATTAAAGACCACTCGTGCTGCTGCATTCTGAAGCAGCTAAAGAGGTTAGATAGAGTTAGCTGGAAGCCCAGCTAGTAGAAAGTTGCAATAGTCCACTCTGGAGAGAACAACAGCTTGATCAAGGAGTTGAGCAGCATGTTCAGATAGGAAGGTACGGACCTTTCTGATGTTATAGAGTGCAAATCTGCAAGATCGAGCAGTTCTAGAAAAGTGGTCAGAGAAGTTTAGTTAGTCATCAATCGTTACTCCAATATAAAGCTATTGTTTGAAATATAAAAAGAAAACGCTCAGTTTTTCTCCCCTTAGGAGTTCACTATGCAGCCTCTGTCACCATCTTGTGGCGCAACCAACTTTGCTCTGCTCAGTATGACAGGGTAATGGCACTGTATCTTCAAAATTATAAATATTTAAAATAGGCACTGTACTTATAATTAAACTGCATTGTTGCAATCTAAACAACTACATTATCACCTAAAAAGTCTCAAAAGTACATTATGTTGTACACCAGCAGCAATACTTGTAGTGAGTTACTGATCTCCTGTCAATCTATGTGGGCGGAGTAAAACAGAAGGGTGAGGAATATATCGCATGGCTAAATCAGATTTAAGAACCAGAAAGAACGGTTGTATACATGTATATGCATGCCTCTCACCAGTGCCAATATACAGCCATATCGCACTGCTACTCGTGTGATATTGCTCATAATCAAAGTATTTTATTAATTGCATATATATATAATCATCTGCACAAAATCAAAGATTGTCAGTTTGTGACTGGCTTACAGCTTATATTCCAGAAAACGGTATAAGCTTTATCTGAGAATTGTTCCCCTAATTTTGATTAGTGCAGTGCTTTACTAGTCAAGGTCCAAAAATCATTTCAAACATGTTACCAACTTTTAATAACAGATAAAATTTGTATTTTGTGTTTATTTATTTCTAAAAGAAACTCACTGAATGATTTGCTTCCATTAGGTGTTGATAATTGCTGAAAAGATAGGTGTACTAAATAGCAATGAAATCAGTTTGAAGGGCTGGTTGTAATTTACTTGTTATTTAATGTGCAAAGAAACACCTCTGTTCTTGTCAGCAACTTCCGTTAGGATCCATCAATATCATAAAGCTTAAATTTAAACGTTTCTCACTCCAGCATGCAATGTGAATTAACCATTGGCTATTTGCTAAACACATAGTCCTGACTGTTTCTTCATCTCTCATAGACACAGAACCACAAGCCTGTTAGAAGCAAAACCAGCTCCGGCTGTGTTGAATTTCCCTTTGAAAAACGAGACTGAGTCATCTAATAGAAGAGAACGAGTGTGTGACTGACAGTGGTGTACTGTAGGTTGTGAAGTTCACTGAGTCAGACAAGCATTTTCAATGTGCTTGTACCAGAATGAAATGGAGCCTTTCAGCTCTGATTGACAAAAGGGAGGAGATTTGTCAGCTTTAGTCAAAGCTGATGTGCCAATCTGTCACACTTGGAGGAGGATCAGGATCACATGCTACAAACCTCTGTGGTGTTTTTAGCTGTCAATTTGAACATCACTGCAACAACAAGTCTTTTTTTTGGTCGTTTTTGAATGTTTAACACTGTTCACTAGAGGTCCAATGTTTGGAATAATATTTTTTTTTAGAAATTTTGGAAAAAGTATATTATGCTTATTAAAAATGCATTTATTTATCTAGTAGTTAATTTATCATTTATCTAGTAGTTACAGAATTGATTATTCGTATAATACTGTACCAAATAGATTTTTTCCAACATCATCTTTACTGTCTAAGCTTCTATTGAGATCTTTTAATTAACAGGGTGTCCGTGGTGTCTTAAAAGGACTTAAAATGTCTTTCAAAAACTAAATTTAAATTCACAGATATATTGTGTAGTAGGTCTTAAATCATTTTAAACGGGTCTTATTTTTTACCTTATTTAAGTTACCTAATCGGGCTGACACTGCATCTAAACAGTATTTGTATTTATATGTATTTAAGTTTTTTATTGCAAAAAGATACCATATTCCAATTATATTGGAATTAAGCATATAATTGCATAAGTCTAAAATGTAATTCATAATAGTCTTAAAAGGAGTCTTAAAAAGTCTTAAGTTTGACTTTGACCTGCAGAAACCCTGATTAAGCTTTGAATATTTGCCATCATATTTTATGAAGTCATTAACCCAAAAACACAGTACTGTGACAGTTGGGTTTAGGGTTGGCATGGGGGTAAAAAAATACCATTTATTGGGTGATTTAATAGATAGCATAAATAATACTAGGTATAACTACTGTGTTACGTTACTGTGATGGTTGGGGTCGGGGGTAGATGTTAATAAAATACAATAAATGGGAAATTTAATAAATAATATAAAGACCTTCTCATTAACTTCCTTCCAAAACCGTATTCGATCTAGCAACAACCGCTGAAATGAGTGCGTTGAATTTGATCATAACAGTGATTCAAGGTAGAGATATTCAAAAATCTTTTATGTTTTTTATGTTTTAATAAAAAAAAAACTATGTTAGAATGAAATATACACACATTTAGTTTTATTTTACATTTTAAAGTTATTACATTACAGAATTAAATCTGTTTTTGCAGCTCACCTGGTGTAAGACTAGCCTAAGTTTAGACTTTGAACTTGAACTTTATGCAACCGGTGCATGGTCTGTGTGTGACCACAGTTTAAATTGTTTAAAGGTTAAATTGTATACATGTGTGTGAAATACATGTGTTCCCAATAAGCATGTTTTGTCTATCAGTACATAATTCTCCCTTTTTTTTCCTCTCTGTAGTCTTGGCGGTGGGACTTTTTTGGGTCTCTGTTGCTTGTTGACGGGTTGTGAGACGTTTGAAGAGGCACTTGAGATGGCCAGTAAAGGGGACAGCACTAATGTGGATAAACTGGTGAAGGACATCTATGGTGGCGACTACCAGCGCTTCGGCCTACAGGGCTCTGCAGTGGCTTCAAGGTACAAAAGACACACTGTGTTTATGTGTAGTGTCGGGTGAAATGTGAATTGAGAAAATGTGAAATGAAATGTGAGGCTGTATTTATGGGGTCTCACGTGTGCAGCTGCCTGTCTCATGTGACACAAAATGCATTCTTCATGCCTTTGGTTGCTTTAAATATATGATTGCTTTTTAAAAGAACAGTTTTAGTTGCTAACAAATGTTTTAGTGAACTGTTCTTAAAATAAATTATCCATTTCTAACTAAGAAATAAATGATTAAGTGTGGGGTCTCAAACTCAAATTGGCTGAGGGCCATATCAGTGACTGACAATTCATGGGAAATACGTTTTAACATTCTAGCACATGAAAAACGCGGAAACCTGATGTAATTGATGCACTCGGACATAGTTATGACATAGTTATGACAGCTGAATGTAGTATGCTTAACTTTGTTACCTTTACTGGCAATTGTTCTTCTCAATATTATTATAAATTTTTTTGTAAAACTACAACAAAAAGGGGGGAAAATATATTCATATCCACATTTACTTTAACAAGTTCAATTTAGCCAGCAGACAAATTTTAATAGTGCACTTTTTTGTTTTACATTTCTTAATACGGATATTAGGAAAAATCTATTAATCAGACCATTTTAATCGAATATTAGCTAAATGATTATATCTACACCACCAGCATAACGAAAGAAGTGTTTGTACAACAAAATACAGGTGGTATAAAACTGGTTTTAATCAAAGGACCATTTAATATTGTTACGTTCCACTTAAATCTAGAGGCAAAAGACAGCTAGGAACGAACAAATGAAGAAAGAGGGGAGAGTACCTTTCAGACCCAGAATCAACAATCAACACATTCTTAATATTTTGATCACCATCAGACAACCATTGATTTATTGTGTGATCAAATGGAATAATGTATCTTAAATTTTAAAGAAACAATACAAAACAAAAATAATACCTCAGGATATGGGGTCTAAAATAACAAACAAAACAACCAATATGCCGAGCTAGTGCTGTTCCCATGCTGATACACTTCCGGTGACCTGTTATTGTGAACTTTTTCTCATTTTATACGGTTCCTTATACAGCATTGATGTTGTAATGTCATTAAAATACATTCAGTTAAATAAACTTTAGCATTTATTTAGTTGCTCAAGCGTAAAACGAGACAAAAAGCCGTTCACTCGCACGCACCGGTCAGAATCGGCAGGCTAATGCAGAAGCTCCATTGAATATACTGGGGTAAAATAAATGCTCATATAATAAAAGATATGATGGGGGAAATGTAATTTAATGCAGTGCTTCTTGTACAATCTGACACCCACTTTAAATCGGATATCACTCAGCTAGTGGAGATCGCTGATTTTTAAAGAAAACAGACCTTAAACGCACCGGATTTTGCATTGGCATTCAATTCGCCGGAAGCGCTTAACCCAGGTTAATGGCAAATTAAAAGTCCTATTAGCATGTTTCGGCATATACCCCATAACTAATTTAAGACAAACTAACTTACCTAACAAAATAAACATTCCCAGAAAGAAAAAAAATACATATTACTTCCCTTTGCCTACCCACCGAAACAGGAGAAAAAGGTTTTAAAATATTAAAAAAAGACACGTCACACCTTACTTATACCAGCAACTAAATTCACATTATGAACATGAAACAAATAGAAGTCAGAAGCCTCTGGTATCTGGGACTGGAGCAGCTCAAGTGAGACATGTCGTCTCCCCTCTCCCTTGCCTTCTGGTCGGTTGCAACCAGTCTTTATAGCTCAGTTGATTAGCTACGCAAATTAGACTCAGGTGGCATCAATCTGTAAACAAAAGAAATCAGGAAACAGAAAAACTGCAATATAGAAACAAAAATAAAACAGTCACGGGACGTAACAATATTTACAAAAATAGAGCTTTAGGAAATATAGAGCACTTACAGACAGCCATATATCTCGATGTTTAAATCCGCCCCAGAAATGATCTGCATAAGCTAGACCGCACACTGAGAGAAACCAAAAGTAACCCGAATATAAGTACATATACTTATATAATAATAAAGAGAATTTTGCATTATTTCACAAGGTTTTTTTCAAGGTAACAATCAAATTGTTTACGTTTTTTTTTAAACCATATCTAAATCGTTCCAAATGTGTCATAGAGGTAATTTGGCCAATCCACAGTTTACATGTTGGGGATTCCTTTTTTTCCAAAACAGTTGCAGTAGCTTCTTGGCAGTAGTGAAACCGTTTGAGAGCAATTTATATTGTGTATTTGACAACAAATGCATTTGTTCAGAGAATCTCAGAATTAAAAGCATTAGATCCAGTCGTAATTGCAACTTCAGCATCTCAGAAAGCACTTCAAAAATTCCATTCCAATAATTCTGTATCTTAGGACAAAAAATAAAACTGAGATGGATCCGCATCTGATGAATTACATTTGTCGTAAAGAGGTGAAATATTTGAATAATTTAGCTTTGTGAGCAATTAGTTTTTTTTCATTTTAAAAATAAAAAATAAATTGTCAAAAATATCATCAACCCTAAATGTTATTAAGGGTTAGTTTTATCATAACTGGATATTTTCAATATTTTTCTCAGTTTTTTTTATACAAATATAATGAACATGGGAAACTTCTTCCAAAAAAATCATACATCCTTCCGCTAGTTTGTTTTTGCTTGCTTTTACTTTAATAATAAAGTCCTCAGACATGTATTCATTGTTTATTATTTCTTCTGTAAATTACAGCAGATATTCCAGCCCTGTATATGTTCTAACAGTTTGTGTTTTTATTACAGTTTTGGTCACATGATGAGCAAAGAGAAAAGGGACAGCATTTCTAAAGAGGATTTAGCCCGAGCGACACTGGTCACCATCACTAACAACATCGGCTCCATCGCACGCATGTGTGCAGTCAATGAGGTTTGTAGTGTTAGTGTTTGTTAGTGTGCATGTGTTCAAGTGGTGCTCACTGCAGAGCCATTTGGGCAGAGCTGAGCTCCAGTGAGGGGCTCATGCTCCCCCTGGCTGGAGCGCAGCTCTGCTCAAATGGCTCTGCAGCGAGCAGTGTCTCCATGTGTTTGCATGTGGAGTGAGCAGCAGTCTCTCTGGCCACTCTGGGCTTCTCTACAGTGTTGCCTTGTAGCCTGGTGATCAAGCAGCATTGTACAGGGCTTTCAGCGTGTACAGAACACCATCAGAGCGGAAACCTGCAACAACACCCAGAGAAAACAGGATTCACATCACATTAGCTAGCGTCTGTGATGAGATGATGGCAGAAGTTTTAAATTTATTTAAAAAAAAGAGTGAGGACTCCCCCTGCTGGTGCAGAGGAAGAGCTGCTGGAAATTCAGGATGTTCCAACTTATCATTTCAATCACATGGTCCTTCTGATCCAGTTTAAGAAATAAAGTTATTTGTTTTATTCTGGTTCATTCTATCATTATCTGTCAAATTAAGCAGTGACTAGATTTAAAATAACTTTTTCTGAACATTTTGCAGACACAAAATGAGTGTTGAAAATGTGTCAAGACATCCACAGATTATTTTTAGGCCTGCACGTGACTGAGTGATGTTTCTGTTCTGTTTTGTCCTGTAGAAAATTGAACGGGTTGTTTTTGTTGGGAATTTTCTACGAATAAACACAGTGTCAACAAAGCTCCTTGCCTATGCTATGGACTTCTGGTCCAAGGGCCAGCTGAGGGCCCTCTTCCTTGAACATGAGGTAATTCTGATTAACATTTGTTTTCAATCTCTAGCTTTCTTAGATTTGTAAAATACACTTCATTTAAAAAGCATGAGGTGAGTAATATTCTAGATAAACCTACAGCAAGGCTGGCTTTCATTTATCAAAGATACAGTAAAACAGTAATAGTGTTAAAAAGTGTTGTTTTTTTATACACTATATATTTTAAAGTGTAATTTTTTATTTATGTCACATGATTTTTCATAAATCAGTGTAATTTCTGACAGTTCTTATTTCTATACTTTCATAATGAACTGGTAACCGTACATTTCGGTTGATAGTCTCCAGAAAATCTGACCTGCCAAAAATCGCCATCATTGGGTCAGGGAGTAAAACACAATCGTAAACTTTAGCAAAGAACTGAAATATTTCTAACCAAAAATTTTTAATTTGAACACAAGTCCAAAAAAGATGTGCTAAGGTACCTTCAGCAGCTTTGCACTGCTGAAACTGAGGGATAGGACTTACTAAGCTTTGTTTTAGAATAGTGAATCTGTGTAGTACTTTGTACTGACTAAGGTTGTGTCTGTAATTTATAGAACATGAATAAACAGATAAAAGGCATTGATCCCAACCAGTCTCAGAGATTGAAATTTATAGGTCTTCTTCCCAAGCAACTTTCAAATGAAGAAATCTTTTCTAACATTATAAGTGACTGTAACATTACTTTTTTTTAATTTTCTGCATTAAAAAACAGCAAAAATCGTACTGACCCCTTATTATTGAAGTCTATATTTAATTTGATCATAACATCATATGTGTTTCAGGGGTACTTCGGAGCGGTTGGTGCTTTTCTAGAGCTGCTGAAGTCGTCTGAAGATGCATAAAAGAAAGTTCTTATCGCCTCTGATTATCCAGAAGCTGCTTTACGACTTCCACACAGAAGCTCCAACAGGAAAACTGGGAACACTGGGAAATCTGAAAGATGCCATTTATAGTTATTAACCTGTAAATATCCCTTGAAAATAAGATTTTAAACAATATTTTTATGAGTAACTTAGTCTCCCTCAGAGTTTTGAGCCTTGTTGTACACACGTTTTCCAGTTGTTCTTTTTCTTTTGTACTGTTTGTAAATATAAGTGTGTAATGAACAGGGAGAGTTTACGGATGGCCAAATACTGCTGTGTTTAAGTTTTGCTATCGCTGACCTACTACCATGTGAGAGAATATTCAACCTTCCTGTTTGTTGTCTCTGAACCTGTTCAGTGTAATGGTTCTTTTGGAGTCTTTTTTGTGTTCAGCTGCTGTCCAGAATCCAAATCATATCAAACAATACTCTAGATCAGATATTATCCTAGGTGCTGTGTTAGATGTGTCCTTAGCTATTTTAGTCAGGAATCCTGTAAGTTAGGAAAAATGCTAGTCTCTATTTCCAGTTGCCTCTAATTTTACTTTTCATCTTCATTACTGTTAAAGGAATAATTACTTTTGAAAACAGGCTCATAGATGGAAAATAAAAAGTTTACATTTTTTAGGATGATACATCTAAGAAGTGTACTTGTATCAACGTAATGATCAAGGTACTTCGCTGCAGTACCATGGCTGCAGCAGGTACTATTATATTACCCATCGTTGCCCCTGCTGCAGCCATGATATGACAGCAAAGTTTCTTGATTTTTATGCAAGAATAAGAGTATAGTTTCTAGATGTATGAGCCTAGAAAAGGGCAATTTCCGGTCCAGGTTAAAAGTAAGCTT